ATGAGCCCGTAATATGGTCATGGGATACTGGTCAGTGGCTATCCTGTTTTGACAGCTGTCAATTGACCATATTGTGAATGTCCTATACTAAAATCCTATATTAAAGATGTGGACTTGCCAAGACACGCCTGAGACACCCCTCCCTTCCTTTTGATAGTCTCCCCTACCCCACCCGTACAATCTGTAGAAGCGTTCGTACGTACGTACGTACGTACGCTCGGTCAATCACGTGACAACCAAACGAAAAGAGGTTGACCATATTCCATGGTTATGGGGCTCTGTCCCACGCGCGCTTCGTGCGCGCGGGAGCCCCGCTATAAGATTACACATCGTTATAACTGAAACCATTAAAGAGGGGGGCATTGGGATTTTCGGTTTTGCGGTTTTGGCTATTTTTTAGATCGGTTTTTCGGTTTTGGTGGTCATTGCGGTTTGCGGATTTTTCGTCTTTTAGCATCTGGTTTTTCGGTTTTCCTGAAAAATACTAGCGGTTTTTAGGTTTTGGTACCCGATGTGGTTTTTGGTTTTTCCTATTTTGTCCTATTTTGGGTTCCGGTTTCTGTTCGATTTGAGCAGCACTTGATCTCGAATAGCCGCGAAACGCCAAAGTTATTTAGAGGAATGCGTGACAAAATAAATGTCATGGTAGGGGATCAAGCGTCTCCCTTGACGCCCGGCGAGACTTTGACCTCGCAGACCAGGGCGATCATTTGGTCAGTTTGCGAGCTATGGCTTCCAACGTGCCATCCGCGCCAGAAACGGAAGAATCCATTGGTTTGGTTCGCCATTGCAAAACTGTACTTGAAGAGCATGCATATCAAATACGTGCTGAGGGTAACATCACTGACGCCCTAAATGGTCCCCAAGGTCATGTCTCTGCAAAAACAGTAAAGTCTGTCCAATTAATGGAATGTGGACTAGGAAGACTAGCAGACATTCTAGGAGAGTATGACTACAAAGCGCTTGATCTTTTAAGCTGTATGACTTTAGACGTTGAAGATTGCCATGCCACTGGATGTTACTAAAACGGGGAACGGGGAACGGGGAGCGGGGAGCGGGGAACGGGGAACGGAAGTCTGGGAACGAGTTGTCAGCGGAAACCTCCATAAAAATCCAATATGGCCGATGATCGATGATAGAGAACCGTCGAAACAAACTTAACCGATAACGGCGTTATTTTACTTGAACTATATGCTCATGAGGTGCTTGAAGTAATACGGAGGTAATAACTTCATGACGTTTTTCACCTTTTTGCGTTGTACTAAACAATTATCCGTAGGAAACAAAATGTGCTCCAACAGCAGTTGAAAGAAGCCAATCGGGACAAAAAGTCTCAAAGCACATGTACAGCCACAGGCGGCCCAGACGTAGTATGTGTCACTGAATGAATATATTAATATCCACATGGACAAATTAATACCATGAGTCGTCGAAACTCCCATGGACTAAAATAGTCTAAAAGTCAAAATATAACAAAACAAAGCTAAGATACCTTCAACTGAACGTATCCTTGTCTTTCCTGGCCGGTTTAAGTGGCATTTTGTTGAGTTTTGAAATTGTAGGTACTATCCACTAAAGAAGAATTAAAGGCTGGCTACAAAACAAACAGACCATCTCCACGCGCCTTCACACGAAGCGCTATAAATTCGAGAATAATCGACGAATCCGCTCCAAATAACCATCAGCTAATCTGCAGGTAACGTGTGCTCCTGCTTCTGGCTCGCTTGCTCCACAAAACCCATCACAACTGCACAATAACTGCTCGCTCATCAACAACCACTGTTGACCTTTACGCTTCGATATGACCGCAAACGACCAGGTTTAATACGCGACGTGAATATTCGAGCTTAGCGACCGCGTTCGCGCAACAATGCAGCACTTGCTATGGGAGGGATGGCACTATTGCTTCTAGGTCAATCGACTGACCGAAGGTTCGCTGCGTTAGTTTTGACCAGAAAACAAAAGGCGATCGCGGGACCGTCCGTAAGGGCAGCCCTGGGCAGGACAGGGCAGCCCTGGTTTTCAAGTTCGAATTCTTCTAACGATCGCTGTCTCAGCTGCTGTCACATTGTTCGTCCAGCCGCTTGCATAGGTTCTTGACTCTACCAGACTAATTTGCTTAGACTAACAAAGTCTTACTCCTTAATATGTTGTCCAAACTGGTGAAGGAGGACGAGAATTTTCCGCCCAGGAAAAAGGCAAAATCTGGCCTCGCTATGCAGCTGAATAGAAGATACAGCTGAAGATATCGTAAAGTAATTAAAATTTATGTGCGCGATATCTTTTGTTATTATTGTTATTATTCTCAAAACTCAGGGGGAACCAACGATGTCAACAATGATTTCCCCCTAAATGCATTGAAAACACATTTAAGGCTGTCCAGAGTACTTTTGATCGAAAACTGAATTCTAAACAGCGCTTACATAAATTTAGTCAGGAGGGCTAAAAGCGAAGCTAATGATTTATAGTTTGCTCACACTAAATATAAAATATATCGTGTAATGGTAAGCGGAGAAGGCAACGAGACAGGGCCACCCAACGACTGTTTCCTCAAATACTTTCAATTGAAAACACTTTTGTAGCTATTCATAAAGTACTTTTAGCTCTATAGAAATGCATTCTAAGTGGCGCTATAAAATTTGCATCTCGGTGTTCGGCCATTCTAGAGGAACTTGAGCTAGCCTGCGTCGCAGACGCTCTAAACCTTCTGTATATAGCGTCTGCGAATTAGTGCACAATATCGTGTTCGAATCCCGTAGAGTCGCAAAGAAATATGTCGACGTTATTGATTGGCTATTTTCTTTCGCAGTTTGTGATTAGTCCGATTTGAATTAAGCGTTGACAGGCC